GGCCGAAACCCAGTCAAGGGGAAGAGAGAGTCTCTTCAACAAATGGTGCAAGCAAAAATATATATCCATTTGCAGAAAAATGAAACAAGATCCATACCTCACACCATACACAAAAACTAACTCCAGATGGATCAAAGACTTAAATGTGAAACCTAAATGGGAAATCTACTTCCGTAGATATACTGCCTCTGAAACCCAAGAAGGGGTCACTATGAGTTAGAATTGACTTGATGACAATGAGGTTTTTTTTTTTTTTTTTTTTTTAAGTATAAAGTTCATCGAAGAAAAAATAGGGGCAAACTTAGGGGTCCTAATATTTGGCATTAATAGACTATCAAAACTAAGTAAAACTGCATAAACAGCAGAAGATAAACTAGATGACTGGGACCTTCTAAAAATTAAACTCTTATGCACATCAAAACTTCTCCAAAAGAATAAAAAGAGAACCTACAGATTAGGAAAAAATACTTGGTTGCAATATATCTCACAACGGACTTATCTCTAAAATTTATAGAGAACTCCAACACCTCAAAGACAAACAATCTAATTAAAAATGGGCAGAAGATATAAACAGACACTTGACCAAAGAAGATATTCAGGTGCCCAACAAACACGTAAATGTTCGCATTCATTAGCCGTTAGAGAGATAGAAATCAAAACAATGAGATGCCATCTCACCACAAAAATAATACCAAACCAAATAAACCAAACTCACTGCCGTCAAGTTGGATCCGTCTCACATCAATCCCTCCTTTGGTTTCCAAGGCAGTATCACTGTGAAAGTAGATTACCCAATCTTCCTTCCGAAGAGTGGCCGGTGGGTTTGAACAGCCAGCCTTCTGGTTAGCAGTCAAATGCCTTAGACACTATACCACCAGAGCTCCCACATAGCACAGTTCAAAAAGACAGAAAATAACAAGTGTTGGTAAGGATGTAGAGAGACTGAGACTCTCATACATTTCTGGTAGGACTGTAAAATGATACAACCACTGTGGAGAATGGTATGATGATTCCTTAAAAGTTGGAAACAGAAATACTATTTGATCCAGCAATCCCAATACTAGGTAGGTATACATCCTAAAGAAGTGAGAGCCAGTACATAAATACACACACACACACCCATGTTCATCGCAGCACTACTCACAATAGCAAGGAGATGGAAACAACCTAAATGCCCATCAACAAATCAGTGGATAAGCAAACTTTGGTACATAAAAACAATGGAATACCATGCAGCATTAAAAATTAATGAAGAATCATAAAATTACCTCATAATGTAGATGAACTTGGAGGACATTATACTGAGTGAAATAAGTCAATCACAGAAAGACAAATATTGTATTAATCCATTATTGTAAAAAGTCAAGGAAAGGTTTATACAGGAAGGAAATTTTCAGGGAGGGAAAATAGATAATAAAGAGACAGGATTGATATGGGTGAAGGGATTTTAAAAAAGAAAACAATAAAGAGATAAGATTAGCCATTAGTTGACAGTTTTTAAAGCTAGGTTATGGATACATGGGGGTTCACTGTACTAGACTTTGTTATTGTTTGAAATGTTTTATAATACATTTTTTAATTAAAAAAAAATCCATTGATTGAGTTTTGTAGTCCCCTAATAATCTGAAAATAAACAATGAAAACTGCAATAAATAGTTAGAAATCAAAAATTGTCATCCTGTGTATCCAAGATCATATACAGGGTTGGCAGACAATGGGCCTATAAGTTCATGTGAATGAT